AAAATGTGCAATGTTCTGAATGAATATAATTTCAGGGTGGTCAGAAAATATTGTGTTAGGTGACATGAGTGGAAGAGTGAGAACAAAATGAGAGAGTACATAAAAATGTTTAGGCCACTCTAAGACCCAACAATGAATGAAAATAGTGTCTATTGGGTGAATATCTGCTTAGAAAAGGGTTTGTTTGTTTTGAACATGTGGTTTAAACACACATCTATTGGAATGTATATCAAAGAACGGCTATAAATTTAAAATACAATAGATTTGATTGCTTATGATAAAATGTGGAAAGATTTAGCGAATCATACATTGGCAATGAGATGTTCTCACTCTGGGTAGTTTTTTGATAGCGTCAGGAATGGATCTTAGAGAAAATGCACCTGAAGACAAAAAAGGAAAGTAGAATAACTACGGGAAGAGTAAGTAGAAATTGCGCATTAAAAATATCTCCCAATAGAATTAATGGATATTGGATGTAAAGAACAATGATGTGGAAGCTGCTTGAAAGAAGAAGAAAATAGTTATATGAGCTGCGGTGGTGCAGTGGTTAGAGTGTAATACTGCAGGCTACTTCTGCTGATTGCCGACTACCTGCCATTCTGCAGTTCAAATCTCACCTCTTGCTGAAGGTTGACTCAGCCTTCCATCCTTCCAAGGTGGGTAAAATGAGGACCCAGATTGTTGGGGGCAATATGCTGACTCTGTAAACCGCTTAGAGAGGGTTGTAAAGCATTGTGAAGCAGTATATAAGTCAACGTGCTATTGCTATTGCTATTTAGATGATTAATCAGATACCTTTTTATGTTTAACAAAAATCTGTGGTTACTGTTAAACATGGAAAATGGCAACCTTCCTAGAAATGCTTTACTGCAAATGTTACAAGCTGTCCCTAGCTGCTTCTAAAAGATTCTTTGAAGAGAAGTTTATTACATGACAATTAAATCAACATGTTAAATGAATTATTTCAAAATCCAAATTTGTTGTGAAAAAGAGAGAGAAAAAGCAGGCTGCTCAGAAAATGCCCTGCATTTGTGCTACCGTCCTCCTGTCTCTTTAAATCAGCCAGCACAGCAAAATTGGCTATGAAAGCTGAGTAGTTTTAAAAGAGGACAATTAGTGGTTGGGGGGAGGGGGAGGAGGGGAAGGGAGGGGAGAGAGGAGGGGAAGGGAGGGGAGAGAGGAAACGGTGTGTTTGTGTGTGGAACTAAAGCAGCCAGAAAGGTAATTTTCTGTAGCAGAATTCCCAAGGAGCAGTATTCCCAAGGAGTAGGAGGACTGATAAGAAATAGTAGGTGGAGAAGAGGTAGCAGCAGTAAGGAAAAGTGGAGTAGTGATGAGTAGTGAATACAGGTAGTCCTGGATTTACAACCACAATTGAGCCCAAAATTTATGTTGCCAAGCAAGACAATTGTTAAATGAATTTTGCCCCATTTTATGACTTAACAACTGCCACAGTTGTTAAGTGAATCACCAAAGTTAAATTATTAACATGATTGTTAAGTGACTCCGGCTTCCCTGTTGATTTTGCATAGCAAAAGGTGATCACGTGACTCAGGGACACTGCAACTGTCATAAATACATACCAGTTGCCAAGTATTTGAATGTTGATCACATGACCAGGGCGATCACTTTTTTCAAAGCCATTGTAACTTTGGTCACTAAATGAATGGTTGTAAATTGAGAACTGCCTATAGTAGTGTGTCAATGAGTGTGTACTGTGCTGACTCTTTTGAGTTTGAGTTGGATATACTTAAAAGAACCTATGTGTTGTGGCCCGCGGGTAGCTAGCGGAGTCGGGCAGTGGGAGGTTGGGGAGAAACATGGGCCAGTCCTGGGGGTTGAGGAAAGCTCAGACGAGGGCTCTGCGTTGGAGGCAGAGAGAGAGAGTTAGACCACAGTGAGGCAGAACAGCTGGAGCCTGTTCTCAGTGTGCGCATGCACAGAGCTGCCAGAAGACAAGAACAACTAAGAAAGCAGGGTCGACTTAGGAGTAAAGCCACACCTTGGAGATGATTGGCCCCTTCCATAGGAAACAAAAGAGAAACAAATGTAAAGTGGGCTTTTGCACGAAACAATTCGTTCATTCAGTCAGTTCAAGAGTGGAAAGTTCTGTTTGTGACTTTAAGAAACTGTGCCAAGTTTGCCTTGCTTGCATTTGGAAATTAGTTATCTGGTAGCGTTCCAAACGAGATAAGGTGCGTGTGGATAAACATTCCTCTGAAAGACTGTTTACTAAGCCTTGCTAACTATGAATGAAAGGAATTCACAGCCATGTAAACAAAAGAGGTTTTGCAAAGACCAAGACTTTGCTTCTTGCTTTCTAAGGAAGCGTGGGTCAGAACACTATAACAAATTGGTGGCAGAAGTGAGATATCAAACAAAAAGACAGGATATCTATAAAAAGGTGGGGTATCGAAAATATGGTAGCAACCACAAAAATGGGTATCTTTAAACTCAAAGAGTTCATTCAGCTCTCCATGAAAAGATAAACCCTTAGCTGCAAAAGTAACATAGTTTGGTTCTTGCAGAGCTCAGACTTTGTAGGAAATAGCCAACACCCTGGCGGCAGAAACCAGACCTCTTACCAAAGCCCACACCAAACAGACATGGAGAAGGCAGAAGGGGCAGATTCTCCCTTGGAAGAGACAACTCCTTTGGTAGAGGCAGCTATCCACTATAGTTAATGCCTATAGTTAAACTAAATAAAGTAGATGAGCCAGAAATGGGACTAGGCTCAAATACAGTACTTGGGCCAATATCATTCTATTGTGATGATCCCATTGTAGCTTTGATCCAAACTAGTAACTACGGAAAAAAATATAATTACATTTGCACAAAATTAATTAACATGAAAATAATATCTACAGTAAATTCAAGGACAGCCTCTATTTAAAAACAAACTAACTGAGTAGAGCAGAGCAATAGTAAGTTAGGAGGCTTCAAAGATATGGTTGAAAGGATACTGCTTATAACCGTGAATTTTAAAACACATCACATATTACTATTTCTAAAGGATTTCAGACAGCACTGCAACAAATAACAGAAGAACCTGCCCCTTTTCCCAAACTGAATTAATGCTTTGTCAATGTTAATTCTTTTTCCAGTGCTGCTAAACAGAAGAAATGGAAAATGAAAACAGTACAGAGCAGCTGGGTTTGCTATTTTGGCTAATTTGTTCTAGTACAAAATATTTACTAACCTAACTACTGCAATCAATGGTCCTCTTAAGGAGCACAGAATAGACTGAAGCTTTTTGAGTATTCACCACTTAATTATAACAAAAAAGTGGCAGTCCAAAAAGAACAAATAAACTGAAATAATAAGCTGTTTTAAAAAATAAAGTCTTAGGAACACTGAGTCCCGGAGTCAGCATTCCTTAGAAAAAGGAGGATAATTGGGAGCTCATAACCAGAACATGCAAACAGAAATAGACTTTTATATGTAAAATTGTCACGATTGTATTGCACAAACACATTTAAGAGGATTATTTGGCTAACTGGGAGAGGTTGTGTGGTTTTTCCTGGTTGACTAGGATATGCACAATATATCCTCCCCTTCTGAGGCCCAGTTTGATGGAAAGAATACCTACAATTGCAGCCAACTAACTGGATGAAGTGATTAACAATTGGGCAGAATTTCTCAGCCAACAGTTCAGTCCCAGTCAAAGATCTGTACTGGGGTCAGGGCTTTTTCATTTGTCTATAAATTATCTTGATATGGGAGTATGCAATGAGCTACCCAAATCTGCAGAGGTCAGAGTGGCAAAAGCCCCCCAAAGGACCTCTTCAAACTCTATCAGTAATTAACCAAATGGCAATTCTAATTCAAGTGATGCACATTGGAGCAAAGACTTCAAGTATAAACTAATACAATTTGAGCTGAATTTTAATTAAACGGGGGGGGGGGATCTTGCTGTCATGCTGGATAGCTCAATGCAAATGTCAGTTCAGAGTGTCGCAGCCAGGAAAAAGGCAAAATTCCAGTCTCAGAAAACATTTGGAAAGCGCCTGAAAATAGAACTGACAACATCGTGATGCTCATATAAAGCTACAATAAATCTGTGTCTGGAAAAAACACAAAACAAATGCAAAAGAACAATCAAAACGATTGAGTGGTTTCTTATGAGAAAATTGTATTTTTATGGAATTTTTTAGCTTGTGGGGAATAAACAAGGATATGCTTGGAGTGTATAAAATTATGCATAGCATGGAGCACAGGGATATAATTTTCTCTCTCTTTCTTTTGAAATACTTGGGACGAGCTTATCTAGTGAAACTGAGGAGATTTAGAACAATCAAAAGTACTTTTTTCACACAGGGCTTGAATAGCCTCTGGAATTCTTGCAGAAAGGAGCACTGAAATATTTCTAGCAGGAAAAGAGTAGCAAGAGAAAAGTGTATCTCCATCTCCTACTTGCAATCACTCTAGATGTTTTTCCTACTCGCAAAACTGGGGTGGGCGTGGCCTGCACATGATGCATCTGGCCCATGGGTCACCAGTTTGACACCCCTGCCCTAGAGGCATCTGAGGACAAAATAGAATCCTGGACTGGATGAACTTTGATGTGAACTAACAGGGCTATTCTTAATTTTTCATGCAACTGTTTCACAGTCACATTCTGATTAAGTCACTTTTTTTTGGTTAGACTGGTATCCTAAACCCGGAGTAGCATAACTTCTATATTCATTTAAAAACCGTCTCTTTCAATCCTCTAATCACAGGAAAGATTTTGCCAAGATGAGAGGATTCCATTAAGATAAAATACTGAGAATGTTAAGAAATTCTTTTTATGGAAAGAATAGCATCATATATTATTATTGTAGTTGATTGCACAATCAACCAGATATTTACACCAAATTTGGCATTTTTAATCCACCTATCAAGTCCTTCCCAAGAACCAGGGATAGGCAGATTAATATCATTAATTTCAAACAAGGCACATAGTTCCTAAGGAGTAATATCTCCTTCAATTTAAACATATCTCTCAGTGACTCTACAGGCATACCTATGTAGTTGGTTTTTGGGGTTTTTTTTCCAACAATACACAAAGTTGGGGATAAAGGATTGCTAACACCTTGAAGATAGGCTCAGTTCAGTGGTGAGAAATGTAAGGAAAGAGTTAGCTGGGAGCAGCAGAGGTAGGCAGTGGAAGAAGGCCAACAGGACAGAAACAGGAGAGAAGATAGGTGGGTGGGGCAACTGAAGTGGAGGCAACTGTGGCAGTGGGGGAGAAGCATGAGGTCCTTGCCTAACAACCGCAACTGGGATCACTGGACCAGCAGTTGCTAAGCAGTCCAGTCACATGACAGTTTATCTGTCATACAATTCAGATACTGCAATGTCCTCTCCCTACAAACATTGAAATCTACTAAATGCAAAGTACTTATTTTGAGAATACTTTACCTTTGTTTCTGCTGCATGGGTTGTTGTCTCATAGCCATATATTGCATGTCCTCTTGTAGTCGATTAAGAGGAGAGTCTGGCTTGACACGAATCCCATAGTAATGATATTTGGAATTCCCCCTTTGGGAAAAAGCAACCAACAATCAATAGACAACCACTGGGATGTTGTTGAAATAGCACAGATCCTGAGCTATGTTAGCATTAAGGCTGCTTCCAAAAAGGCAGTTATCAGAGCAGTGGCTGGTATTCCAATTCTCCCTTCTAAGCAAAACAAAAGGTAACAAGCAGAAGATACCATATCAGCACACACTCATACACATATCTGAGATTTATTTAGATTACTAACACACTTGCCTTTCATAGCCATCCAAACAAAGCTCCTGTTTGGGATTCCAACTACAGGTAGCTGGCCATGGTAATAGGTAATTCACATATTCTAACTGTACTACCATGGTTTCTGGAGACCATTGAGCATATTCACTTCTCACGGAGACATTAAGAGAACATGAGAAAAGTAATACTAGATAAGTTTAGCATTCTGTTTCCATAGCAGCCAAAGTACTATCTACAGAGAAGCCATAATCTGAATGGTATATGAATGGTATAGAATATGAACCTGAATATGAAGATAATATTTTTATCATTTATAGTTCTATATGAAGGCAATACTTTTTAACTTGCTTACTGTCCTGTTACAACTGACACTCAGAATGACGTAGTTATTAATAACTTATGGAATCCCTTGTTGGTTGTGTATAATATGCTGCATAATTCTGCATGTTGGCTGTCTGGATTTGTCATCTTGTTTATTTATTCTGGATTTTTCTTTATCCTATTATATTTTATCAGTTTTTCCTGTACTGCAAGCTGCCCAGAGTCAATTTGGAGTCAGGTAGCACCAAAATAAATGGAATCAAACAAATAAATAAATGTACCCTCCATAAATTGATACAATGCTCTCTAGTACACAATGGGTCAATATTTTCTATAATCTATCTGCCCCATCCCCATATCCTCTTTCCTATTCAGTCACCATCTATGGATAGCCTTAATCATCCAGATCATGGTTGTCCCAAAGATGCTTTTTACCAAAGGCAACTGTACTTTGTTTTATTTTTTCTTTGAAAACATTTTGCTTCTTATCCAAGAAGCTTCTCCAGTTCTCATAGTCCATCACCGCTAGCTCGGGCATGTCTTGAAAATGTGGTTTTGTATGTCTGCAGTGTTTCTGATCCTAAGTATATTTGAATGATTAAATTTCTGTATACTATATCTGCATATAGAGCCTTTCTATCATGCTTGAAGTTTATTTAAAACTATAATAACAGAAGCAGAGTTGAAAAGAATAGTTAGATCAAGATGATATTATCAATCCAAGATATTAGTACGACTACCTATTGGTAGCATAGCCAGAGAAGTTCTTAGACAAATTAATTCTTTTAAAGATGCGTTTTACCCAAATAAAAACAAAAAGGATTCCAAAGAAGTGGGAAAAATACTTTATGAGGTATATGGAAAAGAATTATAAGACAAACATTTTTTTAAAAACAATTTATATTTGTTGAAGAAAATTGAGTTGGGATGTAAATGAATTCTTCACATTTGTTGTTCTAGTTGCATCTGAATTGACCTGAATGACAAATGAAAAATAAACTAATCCCTAATTCTGGATAGTATACAGTGAAAGACATATAAGTAGTATGTAACAAAAAGTAATGATTCCCTAAAATTAGCACTCAGCCTCCAAAAGTAGAAAATGAAATAATGATAAGCAGCGTATTATAGTGCTGACTTGCCTTAGAATCTGGCCTGGACCTCCATAGCTACTAAAACAATCATGATAAGGCAATGCCCAACCCTAACCAATACAGAAACATTTGGAGGGAGGCAAAGATTGAATGCCAATTTACAAAGTTTAAGACTTTGTATTTGTTATATAGAATTGCCATCAAAAACTTATTTATGTGGCTATATAAACTTGCACAGCCTAGGAGGGGGTGGTGGTTAATCCAGGCCAGCAGAAAATATGTCTATTACAGGTAGTCCTCAATTTACAACCATTTGTTCAGGAACTGTTCAAAGTTACAACGGCACTGAAAAATATGACTTATGATTGTTTTTCAGACTTATGACTGTTGTAGCATTTCCACCAGGATGTTTGGCAACTGGCATGTATTTATGACAACTGCAGTGTCCCGGGATCATGTAATAGCCTTTTGCAGCCTTCTGACAAGCAAAATCCACGGGGAAGTCAGATTCACTTAACAGCCATGTTACTAACATAGCAACTGCAGTGATTCATTTTAAAATTGTGGCAAGAAAGGTCATAAAATGGGGCAAAATTCACTTAAGAAATGCTTCACTTAGCAGCATTGGGCTCTATTGTGGTTGCAAGTTTAGGACTACCTGTAATTAGACAATTATTCTATATGTATTGGCAGAACATTATTATTAAAATAATCAATAGGTGTGGATAGATCAGTTTTATAAGGAAGACATGTACAAAGTGACTCTCCAAGGATTTTTGTTTGTGACCACTGGAGTTAGGGGCAAGTAATGAGATTGCAATTTGTTTATATCAAATTATTCCTAAAGACTGAAGTAGCTGAATAAACTTAAAATAGCAGATGCAGTTTAATGTAATTAAATGTAACATGATCTACACTAGAGCATAAAATCCAAACCTCAAAAACATACTAATGTGCTTTGAACTAGCAGTAATTATCCCCCCCTTTGAGTTATGGGGAAAAGTTAAGTCAACTTTTAAAAAACTCTGCCAGGCAGCAATAAATCTTAAGTCACAAATCACTACAAAAGACTCTAAAAATTACATTTCCAATAAGTGAATCCATTGTGTAGTGCAAACACTTAGGGGATATTGTGCACATTTTGAGCCACTAGGTCTCCAAAATAAAATAGTTGGAAAGCTGGTAAAGGTACATAAAGTATCCCCAAATAATTAGATGTCTAAAGTATTACACTACAGAAGACCATATTATCTGTAGCTTAGAAAAAGTTCATAAAGGGGAAATGAAAGTATGTTTAGGATAGAAAATGCAGACAATATGTTTCTCTCTTTCTCATATTACTCATCTGAGTTACATACTGAAAAAATAACATTCAGGACAATTAAAAAGAAATACATTTTTATACAAGAAAAAAAAATTGCACCAATTTTTTTGAAAGTCTGTCCAAAAACAAATACATGTAGCATACAGCTATCAATGACAATTATTCCCTAAGTGATTTTACTGCAATTGTAGACTCAACGCCATAAATACTATTTCTTCAAATTATAGTGGGAAAAGGCTATGAGACTTGTTGATCAGACTTTGACTTGACTTAATGAGATTCCTTTTACGTGCTAATGTTGGCCTCAATGCATTACAGTTGCTCTTAGATGAAGTAATACTTATACCCCAAACCTTGATTTTCTTACACCAACCTGGTTCCCAATCTTCTGGTCCGTAGGCCCATGAAAATTGACCGTATTAGTTTTCCAAAAGAAGCAGCATTGACAGGGTCCAATTTATGCTCCTGACAGTGTCTCAGGTAATGGTTGTAGAGAGTGCTTCTGGGAAGGCTCACCCCTTCTGCTGTTTCATAGTTGTCTAAAAGCCATTGAAGCTATTTCAATTTTGGGACAAAGAAAAAAAGAAGGCAAGTTCAAAGAACAATTAAGAGGCTTCATTAGAGATTAAATAATAGTTATTGTCTGAACTAGCCCCCTCTTCCAACTCCAAGTTAATTCTTTCAAACTTAGTGTTTTCATTATAACTTTACAGATAATGGGGAAAAAGCAGAATCCACTTATGACCCCAGACAACACTAAATACTTCAACAAAATAACTGCAATTTCACTTAAAGTGAAATAATATATACTTAGAGAAAAAGTGTTAGCCCTTGAGAAAATGTGAGCAATACTGAAGGTAGTTTATACAAGCCAAAAAGGAATGGTATTTATGAAGTGAATATAGTTCTATGTGGTATGGGATTAGCAAATTTAAGGTTATTGCACAATTTTACTGGAATAATAATTATATTTTGCTTTGCTAAAGAGCAAAATCTGTCCTTACATGTGATAAAGTATTTAATTTCTCTGAAAATTAATTTGGCCCTATAAGCTATTTCTCTCAATGATTTTATTTATTTCACATGTGAAACAAGGCAGGCCTATGTTAATAATTGCATGTTAAGCAGTATATTTTACATACTTATGATATACATGGAGCAGAGTTCATTTATCAATGGAGAAAGCAAAAAAGTCAATTCCATAACATCTAAAGTAGGCCACCTTTATGATGAGAGAGCAACAAAAAATATATTGTTTAATAAAAATCTCGTTAGCTATTTCATTAAAGCTATGCTATAGCTTTAATGAAATGGAACCGCTTAGAAAGGGTTAGGGTTCCTTGATTAAGCAAAACTCTAAATTTCCCAAAACTTTGAAAGTAAAAATGGCATGTCTTCAAATAGTACCCCCTCTTTCACATGACTCTGCAGAGTTACTGTAAAGATTCAGCTGACAACAGGTGGTTCTAGTGCATCTCTGTTTGGGGTGTGACTGAATCATTTAATCACACTATCAAAAGAGACAAGTAAAAATAACACATTTTGTAGCAACCTAGCCAGAATAAGGTGACATCTGAGTAAATCATGCACAGATGCAATAGAAAGCTTAGAGGTAGTATTAATTGCTGCTGCTGCTCTTGTTGTTATTTCTAAAAGTTCCTTTGCCACCATCATCATGGAATAACACATTCATTTCTCTATTCCCAGTAGCAGCAGAGGAAAAACAATATATATATAATCTTGGTTTTTAATAGTGATGATGAGACTATTTTTATTCTTCAAAAACATTTCCTACTTACTGTACATTAAAGCTGGGGAAACTGATTATTAGCCATGAATTTATTATAAAATTCCAAGCAATCTCATGTATAAGCAGCACCCACCAATGTTAAGTCCCTTGGAAAAGTGAATTACTGTATATAAAGCAATAGAATTTGCATTGCCTATAATGGTGATGAACTAGAGCTGTTAATTCACTCTAGTCATCAGACAACTTTGAATGTCAAAACTCCCCAAAGTAACTAAAGGATCTCTCCTTATCAATCTTAACACTTGTTAAAGTGTCACTAATGCATACGTTCCTGACTGTTAGAGAAAAAAATAATAATGCAAATATTAAAAACTTTTTAAAAAATCCAGTTGGCAGTAGAATTATAAATACAGTGAAATGATCCAGGCTATTAAGTACAAGTAATCCTAGACTCTGTAAACCGCTTACAGAAGACTGTAAAGTACTGTGAAGCAGTACATACTGTAAGTCCTAAGTTGCTAATGCTTTTATTTTATTTAATGATGGTCAGGAATTACAATGACCTTGAAAAGCCCATCATATGGGCTTTGGCATATGACAGCCCCTAAACACTTCCAGCTGTTGTACAATATTGTATCACCATTTCTATGGTTACATGATTGTGATCTGGGTGTTTGGCAACCTGTTCACATTTATGACCGGTTGCCAAGTGACCTGTGATCCTGTGATGTCACGCACACAATGACATCATCCACATAGAATGGAGCTGAACTCTTTTGGTGGGGTGCAGAAATAGAGCTCAAATCCTGAGGGAGGATTGGAATTCAGCAGGAAGGATTTCCAGTTCCTGAGGGGGAGGGAGTGTGATAAGGAAAGGAGTACAAGGTGCCATCTGACAGTATCCATTCAGGGACTGAAAAATTCAGTATGGATTTCAGCAGAGAGAATTTTCAGTGGTCTCCCCCATCCCTCATGTGACACCCTACACCCCTTACCTTGGATTTAGCCCATTTAATGACCTGCGAGGTTGCTTAATGACCTCGACCAGGAGTGCTAGGATTTGTTGAGCAAAGTAGTAACATGACATCTTGCTTAATGACCACTTCAGTCAACGACCAAGATCTTGGTTTCAAATGTGGTCATAAATCAAAGAGGACCTGTACAGCAAGCCTGGTCTGCTGCATCTCTGGCAATTATAATAAAAACTTTATGTGGAAATCAGTGTATTCAAGATCAAAGAGATGAAAAAAGCTAATGAAAGGTGGATTGAAAGGAGTTCCATTTCTGATTTAGCATGCTGTGCACTTTTTCCCCATGCTGCTATAAAAGCACCACTTTAATCAAGTCAATGGAACAGAATAATGGGTGCTATTTGCTGTTGTATAGTCTACCTGCTTATTGCAGATCATCTTTAGCAGAGATACACAACCCCTAAGCTTCTCAACTGCTTTCTCTAATAACCAGCAGTATGAGTTTCCTACACAATACAAGAATAGTTTTCAACAGTGAAAATGAAGTTTATAGAGAATAATCTGAAGGTGCCAATGTACATTCTGTTAGCTTTATTGTAATTGAAAATAGTATTAAAATATACAAACATGTGATTTTGTTTGCTTAAAAATTATTATAAACAATCTCATCGGTATCTTTCAAATACTAACTGTTTTAAGAATATGAGCAATGCTACACTGTCAAGCTCAAAAGTTTGACAATACTACATACCAAATAAACCTTGATTGTAATTTTGGAAGGGCAGCTACTGTGTTTCCCTGAAAATATGACATGTCCTGATAATAAGGCCAGGCCACATTTTTCTGGTGGGCAAAAATATAAGCCCTCCTCCGCAAATAAGGCCCTTGGACAACCCCCCACCTCTGACTAGGCAGAGCGCCGCTCACCAACCTAGCAGTATCTCAAAGGTGCCAAGCCGCGGGAATGGGGGGGGCAAAGGTGATCACGTTGCTTGGTGCGTTCAGGATACCGCTAGATTGGTGAACGGCGCTGTGCCCAGCTGAAGAGGGGGGTTGCCGGGTGGCTGTTCTCTTGCGAGCGGGCTCTCAAAGATCCGGGCACAACAAACCCCCTTTCCAGCCAGGCACAGCGCCATTAACTGACCTAGGGGTATTGCCAAGCCACGTGAGCACCTGTTCGCCGCCGCCTGGCTCTCGCAGCTTGGCGCTTTTGAAATGCCAGTGAATGGCGCTCTGCACGGCTGGAAAAGGGGGTTGCGTGAGCAGCTGTTCCGCTCCTGCTTGCACGCCTCCCAGCCTCACAATGCCCTGGCCCAGCTCTCCCTGCAGAGCCAGGGCACCTTCGCCGCCACCATCCCAGCATGGCTTTTTCGGCAGCTTCCAAACTGAGTCTTCCAGCAGTGGCTGCTCTGGGCATACACTCTATGGTTGTGGGCTGGCTGTCAGCAGAGCATACAACCATAGAGTGTACGCCCAGAGTGGCCACTGCCAGAAGACTCAGTTTGGAAGCCGCGAAAAAGCCATACTGGGGTGGTGGCGGTGGTGGCAGCGGAGATGCCCTGGCTCTGCAGGGAGAGCTGGGCCAGGGCATTGTGAGGCTGGGAGGCGCGTGAGCGAGAGCGGAACAGCTGCTCGCGCACCCCCCCTCTCCAGCCGTGCAGAGTGCCATTCACTGGCATTTCAAAGGCGCCAAGGCACGGGAGCCGGGCAGTGGCGGACAGGCGCTCACGCAGCTTGGCGATACCCCTAGGTCAGTGAATGGTGCTGTGCCCGGCTGGAAAGGGGGTTTGCCGGGTGGCTGCTCGTGAGCGTGGTCACTTCATGGCTGTTGTATTGCGCTGCTGCGACAGCGCAACACAGCCATTCGCCAATGAGGCTGTGCCCGGCTCTTTGGGAGCCCGCTCGCAAGAGAGCAACCGCCCGGCAACCCCAAAACAATAAATCACCCCCTCATAATAAGGCCCAAGCCATATTTTGTGTTTAAAAAGAAAATAAGACCCTGTCTTATTTTGGGGAAAACACAGTATTAACAACAGTTGACAATTTCTGACTTAGCTTACAGTTGGTAAGAAAATTTATTTACCTCCACATCACAATTCAGCATGCTCTTTTCCATATCTTTCCTCTGCAACTAAATGCCAGTCTTTTTTTATCTCACATTCACTGACTGACTATTTCATGTTTTCATTTTCTGTATAGCTGATCAGAGAATCTGATCTTTAATTGCTATCAGGATGATGATATGGAGCAAGGGAAATCATAATCATTGTCTTTTATTAAATACACTAATGAACTGAACATGTACCGCTCAACCCAGAAACTAAGAATATTTAATGCACATAATTCATTAAAATTAACCAGAAGGCGTTAAAGTATCTATGCTCTTCCTATTTGTGCCAAAATGAATTAATAATGACAAAAGGGAAATAATGCATGTCACTTTTTTTCATCCTCTTGGATCATGAAAAATAAAGCCTTTTCCCACTTTCTGGTACTTTCATGGCAAACTTGTCTGTATAGATTTTTTGGCTATGATATGGAAATAAGTTTACCACTAGAATTTTTTCTGACTTTTCTCAATCAAGCCTACAATCCTAGTTAAGAGCCGTGGTTGTGCAGTGGTTAGAATGCAGTATTGCAGGCTGCTGACTTCTGATTGCCAACAGTTTGGCAGTTTGATTCTCACTGGCTCAAGGTTGATTCAGCATTCCGTACTTCCAAGGTCGGTAAAAAGAGGACCCAGATTGTTGGGGACAATATGCTGATTCTATCAACTGCTTAGAGAGGGCTGTAAAATGTTCTGAAGTGGTATAAGTGCTATTGTTATTCCTTGGTTGTCTCCACTTACAGATTAACTAGAGGTACCTCTGCTTAACTTCCCAGCCTAGACAGCTGCTTTCCCAGATAGATGATCCATCTTTAATTCATTCTAAATTCATGTCACTTGCCATAAATATGGCTGACACAGCACAGTCAAGGAATCTTCTTAAAAATGTTGCTACATATTTCACTGACAAAGGATCTTCTGCACTAAATTAAACAGCAAGAAGTTCTATCACAAGCAGTACACTATTTTCAAGATATTAATATAATTAATTAATATAATTCCACATTTGAAACAACAACAAATCAAGAATTAACAAACAGCTGCTCTGTCACATAATTATAAGTGGATGCAGTACACAACAGATCTGAGGAAATAGTAATAGAAACAGTTTATTAATTGATTAACCTTACGGCCATATGAATAAAATGAAATTAAAGTACATGATCTGATTCCGGGATAAAATAGATGAAATAAAATGCAGTGATAAAATACATGTGGTAACATCAAGAGTCAGCATTGCCCTTAGAGAGTAGCCCCGTTTATTCAATGTATTGGGTTCTTACAGTAGTTCAACGGACCTAATTATAAACTTAGCAATTCTGCTTTACAATATATAATGAGAGCCTAGGAGGAAATAAGGCAAACTAGGATTCAGATCCCAGTGGGCTGTTATTTCCAATGGGAATGATAAATACCAAAGCCTCAGGGAGGGGCAGTCAAACAAAACATGAGCAATATTTTCAATGGCTTAGGTAATACACATGTATGTACTATCATGATATAACAAGTGATGGAAGTGTCCATATTTGGCCCTGGAATCCAACAACGCAAATCTTGCTCTAGAATAGGCCCTTCTTAAAGATTGTGTCCAAGTCATTGACAAGCATTTTTCAAATTGCAAATTTGTTCTTAGACAACCAACTTAAGAAAATATTTTTGGCCAATAGCGCCATGTCAATTTGAGCACCAATATCTAGGACTCAAGTTCAAAATCTAGGACTCTGGTTCAAAATTTCCCTTGCCTGGGAAGCCATTGAAAGTAAAATCATGTTGTGATATAACTTTCATAAGTTATATCTAAGCAAATAGGATTCAAATAATCTCAAGCAAGAAACAAATAACTGACAGAGGTTGATGCAAAATTAGTTTATGGTTACCATTAGCATTGTAGCTAATCAGAATTTCCTTGCTCAGTTGTACCCTACTCTAACTCAGGTACCATAAATAAGGAGTGGACGTCAATAAAAAAGTCACAAAAAGAGCAATTATTAACAATATTTTTAGGAAGTAAACACATAATATGATCTTAATGTCATTTAAGGTTTTGCTATTGGCACACTCTCCAAAACTGTGAATTAATTGCATGATTCATTATTGTGAAATTCTGTTCCAAAACAAATCTGCAACTGCTACAGTTGCATACAAAGGCTGACATTAAGTGCAATATTTATAATCAATAAAGATACTTCCCTTTCTACCAGTTCTGAATGTTAGTTTTTCATCCCTAATTTTTAGGAAAATGTATACAACAGAATAGCACAGTACAAAAATTCAATTTAAATCTAAAATGTTTTATGAAATGTAACTCAAGTCAGTGCAGCTGCTGTTTATTTATTTAGTGCTCACCTTCTCTAAATGATAATCTAATGCTCCAGAGTGAAATATGTATCACAGCAACAAGTTCATGTAGAAAAGATAGTTCTCTTCCCCACAAGAGATACGTTGGGAGATGGCAGACCTTTTCTGTAGTGGCCCTTGCATCACAGACCATGCCTCCCTCCGAAGTGCATTTGCTCTTCCTCTGAAGAGAGGTCTGAAATTTATTCTAATATTCTATTAAATTCCCCCACCCCTCAATTTATTGTAGTCATCTAACTTGGGTAAGGGCACATTCTATTTTTAAATTATGTTTAAATTTACAAATAAACAAAAAATCACAGGACCACAGTTTTATGATGCAGTTTTTCTGTTAGAAATTTTACTAATAAAAAACAAACAAACAAACAGGTAGTCCTTAACTTATAACTATTCAGTGACCATTAGAAGTTGCAATGAAAGTGAAAACATGATTTTCCCATTTATGACAGTTGCAGTGTCCTGGGATCATGTGATCCCCATCTGTAAACTTCTCAATTGGCTAAAATAGGCAAAGTCAATGGGAGAAGCAAGATTTGCTTAACAACTATGGTAATGGGACTAAATTCACTTAACAACTATCCTGCTTAGCAACTGAAATTTTGGGCTCAACTGTGGTTGTAAGTCAGGGACTACCTGTACATTAATATTCAGTGAAGACTGAATAATTTACAAATTATCTGATTTAAATAACTAAAAATAAATATTGTATAAATTGATTTGTTTTTCAGATAGAGAAGTGTAATAAATTCCATATGTAAACAATGTAAATTATTACACTAACTTGCAATGGCTAGAAAATAAGGCAAATGACTTTCCAATTTAATATTTAATAAGCAAACAGTAAGTGTGCCTAAAATGCCACAAACTAATTGAGAACATCTATTTGAAATTATTCAAGTGCTCCAGGGCACCAACAAAACCTCTTGCTGTATTTTTCTGTGAAGGAAGGTTAAAGCATAGCTATGTTATTGTCAAATTAATATGTGACATATTAAATATTAATATAATTAATTAAAATTTGGCCCAGTTTAGTGTAGGCTCAATAGAATCAGTGGACGGAACCTAACATTTAGAGCTGCGGTAAAACTGTCTCAATCTTGAGCCAATCAAAATTGCTTTTGGTATCATTTTGCCAAATATGCTCTTGACAGTCTTTCTAAAGAGATGACTCTACTGCTCCTTAAATGATATTCTATAGAAAGGCTGCTGAACCCTCAAAGGAATATTTTGCTTCAATGAAGCTTTGAGTGATGCACCCATCGCAAAAGATGATTTCCAAAGGAAGACACTCTTTTCTTTTTAACACCAAAGTGCAGCAATTTGGTCTTCTTCTGAGTACCTCCAACAGCCTTTCTGTCCAGAATTCACAGGGTTTTTTTTAAGGCTGAAATGAATATTCTCTATGGCATTGAGGAGTCTTTGAGGCTGTAGAAGAAAACCCAGTAACCAGGGTCAGAACTTCCACTCAGCAAACCCAGAACTGACTAGAGGTGCTACTATGCCTGCTGCCAATTATCTATTTAGCCTATTGCAAAGCACGCAAGCAAATGGAGTGATATTTTGCCTCCCACCAGCATTAACTGGTAACGTTTTTGGCCACCATGTCTTCTTGAGCGCAGAGGCCAGGAGATTTGCCCATCAATTCTGACAGATCACCTCCTCCAGAATACAATGACCAAGTGTTCTGGCAAATGGGACCTAGGTGACACTGCTGGCTCACCTCTATCAGGTGTTTGGTCAACAAGGCAACCTGAAATATACTGTAAAGCCACCTACTAGGTGCATTGAAAGTCTGCCAGACTGAGTGATTTCAATGAATCCTGAACGTAGTTTTGAAGCTATGTAGCCTGTAAGCACTTTGACCTGGACTGGTAGAGAAGGTTAGAAGGAACCTTCTCCAACGGTATTTGGTGGAAATATTCAGCCTCTGAATCAGTCCTTGATAGAATCTTCAGTCCATCAAAGGAAAACGTGGCTGTTTCATGCAGCATTTGTACCTTGCTCTAAAACACCTGTCAAATAAGCCTAGAATACTGCACATAAATATTGAAAAGGTAGACATTTGTTCATACTGAAATTGTTTTCTCCATTTCTCTGTACACAAATTAAAAAGCAATTTATATAGTTAAAAAAAACCCACAGTGAGTCAGAGGGTCAAATTGGATGGGGCCAAAACTAAAGCAATAATTGATCAGCAATTTATCTATTTCTTTCTCTTACTACAATACAATGCAGTTGAGTGGACAAGGTTTTGCTTACATGTAACTTAAACTGTATTTCATCAGCATTATGAGATTTTTCTCCTTTTCAAATGATGATACAATGCCCATGACGCTTAACAATAATTCGAAGATTGTATTAACCTAGGGGTGTTCTGACTCTTTCTTCTGAATTGCTTTTAGTGAGTCAGGAAACTTAAAAGTAGCCTTCTAAGAGCAGGGAAATCAAACAATTTTGATGCACTAACATCTTGCATGGGAAAAAAAGCTGCTATGAGAGTTCAAAAGTGGAAAGGAAAATTCAGAAGCTGGGGGAGGGTGACAAAACAAAACAAGCATTTAGAAGACAAGCAAAGCATGCAGAATAAGCAAAGGATTAGCTTACATGAAGAAGAGGCAACTTACATGGCTGTTGAGAAGAGAGCTTCTGTGAGTGGACAGACCATCAGACTTTTGCAGTGTCTCAATCGCCATTTCAATCTGATAATAGATGTCATTAAAAAAAGGGCTCAAGACAAGATAGTAACAAAAGATAACTACAGAAATGTTGATAGATTGCCCCAGTTCAAAAAGAAACCTTAGTTAAAGCAGATATTTTTAACTGATCACAGGCATAATGCCAAATATTTACGCTAGCAAATTTTGTCTACAAAATTCTTAAGAAAGAACCCCTTTACCAACTTCCAATTCAGGAAAAAGAGGAAGATATGATTTTTTGCTAATCCACAATGCAAGCATCTGAGAATTGAGAGCATAGTATGCAACTCATATAAATATATAAATAGATCCTAGAAATAGATATGCAGAGAATGTGAAATACTTCAGTCTTACAAACATTCATCTCTAGGACACTTGATCTCAGCAGGACTCATGCTAACTAAATATGCATAAGAATAAACTGCAAGAGTCAACTTGTTGGACAGACAATATGCACTCAGCACCTCTTGCCATGTGATTATTTTAAAAAATAGTAAACAGGTAGTTTTAATTAACATTAGATCGTTAGCTATAGAGGGGGGGAAATATTCCAGCCTTCTTAGAAGGAATGAAGTTTATCAGAAAAAATGAATTCAAATTTTAACCTAGAATATTTTGCTGCAAAAGTTCCCATTAACAATCCCCACTTTTTTCAGTTGGAAAAAAACATACTTTGTTCTTTTAAATACAGCATAAGACAGCATATTAAACAACATATTAACAAAACATATAAATATTGGCTACAAGTATAGAGGACATGTGGATCCTAGTCTTTATGTAGAATGATTTTATCTAAAGTCCATTTAATAAAAAAGGTTTTATATAGCATAATATAAACGTTCTGTTATATCATACATATTATAAAATAAAATTTAAAATTAAAAGTCTTTAAGAGAGAAGTCTAAAGAAGAAACTAGTGTCTGATTCAGAGTAAAAGAAAAAGCAGTTCTGAAATTAACTAATAACTGGGGAATGGGATTCTTCAAAATTAAGAAAATAATATCTTTTATTGAATGGTTTTTTTCAAAGAGATTGCTTAGGGTATCAGACCATTGCTTTCTAGATAGTAAACTCTGAATTTAATAGATTTTTTAAAATGGAGATGTCAAGGGTTAACACTTGGATATTAATGCACGGGGAAAATATGCCCTTCCATTGAACTACTGATTTATATATCGAATTGATAAACTTTAATAATGTATTCTTGAAGAACCCCCCTCCCATATTTTAATATGTAGTAATCAGCTCTAAAATTTAGTGTCTCCAAAGTAATTAATAATATAAAAGGATATAAAATTCTACCAATATTTAAAAATGTTTTCTCAAAATATGGTGGCCGTATTAAAACAAAAACAAATGGAAACTGGGGGGGTGGGGGGGGAGACAAAATCCCAAAACAAAATCTCTTAAAACCACTTGAGAGGAAGGGGAAAATATGGTCATGCATGAAGCTATTCATTCTATTTCTAGCAGTGGAGTGTGGGGCATTTAATAAGTATCCCAACATATTTACCGGGCCATAATGGAGCAGAATATTTGTTATTATGGCTCCTGACATTTTAGAGTTTTAAACGTAAAAATCAACTGCTCTTTGAATCACAACTAGACACTTTCAGTGGCAGTCCTATTTAGAGTATTGCAGTTGTCTAATAAGTTATCCAAAAGGCAGTAAGATTCTGAAATTGCTATAATAAACTGCAGATTTGATTTGGGAAACAATGAATCCAATTTCCATTATTCTTTCATATAGACTGGGCAAATTTCCTTAATTTCTATATTTTTTAAAGATACTGCAATACTTCCCCCATTATCAAAAGAAAGCATATGACCTGTTGCCTAAAACACTTCAAAGAGTGGGTATGCTATGCATGTCCATAAGTCCCATACTAAAAATATCAAGAATGAAAATGCAATGTTGGGTATAATTGGCTGAATAAGGTATGGTAAATTAAACCTGCTTTGTGAAACTATGAAATAAATGCAATTTAATCAAATACAAAGACACCTTCAATAGTTTTCAGATATTATCCTTTCAGAATTTATACCAATATACTTTATACCTGTGATGGCAAACCTGTGGCACGCGGAGCCATTTGTCAGGGCACGAGAGCCGTTGCCTGTCAAGTGGCCAGCGCACATGTGCGTGCTGGTCAGCTGACTTCGGCCTTATTTTGAGGCCATTTTTCACCCTCCGGAATATTCAAAAAGCCTCTGGAGCGTGAAAAATGGCCCTATGGGCAAACCGGTTCACTGAAGGCTCTGGAGGACAAAAAATGGCCATACGGACAAACCAGAAGTGACTTCTGGTTTGATCATAGGGTCATTTTTTGCCCACCAGAGCCTTTAGGGAAACATCTTGAAGGCCCCTGAAAGCTCTGGAATGCTAAAACCCGCCCTATGAGCAAACCGGAAGTCCATTCCCGAAGTTCCGGTTTGTCCATAGGACCTTTTTGCATTCTGGAGGCTTCAGGGAAGCTCGCTGAAGGGGGGGGGCTGTTTCCGCTCAGTCCAGGCTCCTATAAAGCCTGTGGAGCATGGGGAGAGCGAAAAAAGCATGCCAAATTTGGGATAGCATTGGTGGTGCGTGCATGAGAACTGGGGTTATGCGCCTAGCATTATGGGTGTGGCACACCCTCGTATGAGCGCCCTGCGCTCCCCCCGCTTTTAGCATGCGAGCCAAAAAAGGTTTGCCATCGCTGCTTTATACCTATAAAATTTCTTGCTAAGTTGGGGGCATTCAGTTTCCAAAGTTCACTGAGGAGGTGAACCTCCAGGAGAGGTAGAGCAAATTGAAGACAACTGTTTGAAAGCAAAGCCAGTAACTATGACAAGGACCAAGAAACCTGTGATAGATCGGTTCCTTGTAACCTCTCCAGTTAAAGAGGTGATAAAGATCATCCACGTGTGTTCTGGACAGCTGCTCCCCATGATGAAACTGCAGAGCAGTGGTTTTCTGCAGATTGGGTGCACAGAGATGATGGAATTAATATCCTGCTTGCAGCTGCAGTGAAGATTTTAATGACACTATGTTTGCAAATCTCACTTTCTAATGCCTTTCAGAAATTGCTGGTTAATTATGTGCAGGGGAAAAAAGAAATATTGTAACTTGTACAGTAAAATTTTGGCATTAGTTATAAATAACAGTTTTTGTGGGAAATAGATTCTGCTTTAGCTTTTGCAAGACAAAATAAAGATAAGCAATTTCATGATTTCAAAAAATGAACATTAGAGGGAATGGATATCTTTAGATAGGGAAGATTTACAAGTCTGTAGAATATTACAAAATATTTTAACAATGAAAATATTGAAGGACACTATAGAAAAATGGAAGCAGAAAATAGTAGCCACAAAATCAACAATGTCAGTAAAGGTATCTGCTTCTATGGGCAGACTATGCTCAAAAGACGTTATTAAAGAAATGATAGCTATAATACAAATTTTACCTGACAAGATAGAGATGGTATCAAAAGTGGATTTAAAATTGATAGGCTAAGAGAATATGTTAGAAAAGGAAGTTTCATTGGATTTACAAAAGAAACTGGCTGAGGTTTTAAAATGTAAAGAGGAAATACAAAAGACAAACAAAGATTGACTCGGGAAATTTTTTCCTATTGCATTTACAAAAACTCTGTGATGGGACAAAAAAAAAATAGCCTACAACAATATTTGAAGGAATTAAAGATTCAGACTATTAACAGGTAATCATATAAAGTTGGTTTATTTGATCAAGATTAAAACAAGATATATTGATATTTCTGGGTACTCTTTCTGCTAAGACTGAAAATATGGTGTTTTATGCGTTTGTTAATAGGTAACAGATAGGATAAGGGTTTAAGAGATAAATGTTTGCAACCTTAGAGAGAGTAAACTGAGACTAAATTTGTTTATAATTGTGATAAATATTGGAAACAACTTTTTAATATTTATTTCCTTTTTCTTTAGCATATTTTTACTTTCTTCCTTCTTGCACTTTTCTATCTACTCATTTTTATTTCTTTAAGTATAGCTTCTATTAGACTTTACTATCATAATCAAAATTCTTTGAGGAAATAAGTTACATGAATTTATATTACACTTTCTGGTGTGTTTTTATATTTTATAATTATATGTAGCCTTAGTGATTTATTTTTCTATTATTTCCTTACAAAGTAATATAAGTCTTACATAAATCCACATATTCTAATCCTATAAAAGATGCCAGAAAAAGTAGGCAGGCTTTCATCAAGGTTAGATAGTTGAGATTTGTTGAAGAATTATCCAAATTCGTGGCTGCTAACTTACATATATGCAATCAAACCTGAATACCTAACATTTAAGTTTTCAGTGTCAAGATAGCAACAAAGTTTCTTTCTAGTTGCATACATTATTTTTGTGATTGCCAAAATTAATGCTTCAATACATTACAGTATAGCCACAATTATTTTAATTTAAAAATGTCACTTTGAATGTAACAAAGTAAAATGTGACTGATATACTAGCATTAGATATTCCTGCAGTTGCCATTCACTAGTTAGATTACAGCCTTAGGCTTTTTGGAAAAACTCTGGGTAGCAATGTATTAAAAGTTTATGCAAATAAATAGTGAATGACCCACTTTTTAATGCCTTAACTCCTATCACTCAACACCAGTCTCTTAAACATTTTTTCAGAGTGTCTTCATGGTTATCAATTTCAGAAAGTGGAAATTATTATTTTTGCTAAAATATTCACAAAGGATGCTATGTTATATACTAAAGGTGTATTGAAAGGACATAAATCTAATTTAAGGGAGAAAAGGATTGACAGAAAAGTGCAGTGGTAGAGGACAAAGGGGAAGGAGGAAACAAGAAAGAAATGTTGCGTCATATGCCCTGCCAGTCTAGCCAGCAAAATGGAAATTGGAAAGTGTGTGTGTGTGTGGCAAGGGGTATGTTTGACATTTAAAAAAAAACCCACCTCTCTACCCAGCTACTCCCAAGTTGGAAATAAATAGGCCAAACTAGACTGCAAAATTCAATTCTGGAATGTGTGACACATCAAGTTGCTTGATGTGAAGAGAATATTCCACACTCACAAAGTCCTAGCTGAAAGTGGTTGTTATATATACCACTAAAATATCAGAGAAGAATGATCAGGTTTTCTCAACAAATTAATATTAAGTAAAACAGAATAAACAAACTTTGTAAGTGAAAACTATATAGGAAGTTCATGCTGCAATTTTCTCTGAACCAATTCCCTTCCCAAAACAGCTGATGCTTAGGTTTTTTTAAATGGCTGTTTGTTTTCTTCAATGTATTTCATTTCAGCATCCATTAATTCAATCCTATCTGCTGCTGATTAGGGCCTACAAATATACTTGCTAACATGATTAAGCAAGTTCGTATGTATGTATGTATGTATGTATGTATGTATGTATGTATGTATGTATGTATGTATCTTGCAAAATTAGAGAAATTGGGGCAATTTTTGTCCCTTCCCCATACAGATAGTCCTTGATTTACAACCGTTCATTTAGCAACCATTCAAAGTTACGATGACACTGAAAAAATGATCATCTTTCACACTTACGACCATTGCAACATTCCCATGGTCACATGATCAAAATTCAGATGCCTGGCAACTGACTCATATTTATGGTGGTTGCAGTGTCCCGAGATCATGGAAACTTGAGAAACCTCAAGATTTCTTGCTGTTTTTCAGGTTTCCAAGCATGATAGGAATTAGCCACCAAAAAGGACAGATTACCTGAAGCTAGATATTAAGCTCAGCATTAAAAAAAAAATCTACTTATTTTGGGGACGGAGAATGAGGAGAAGCTCACATCCAAGATTAAATAAAGCTAAACAGCTGTTGTCCCAAAGGTGCTTTTTCAAGAGGCAACTGGACTTTCTGGTTTTTCTTTGAAGGCATTTCACTTCTCATCCAAGAAGCTTGAGAAGCAAAACATCTTCAAAGTAAAACAAGAACGCCCAGTTGCCTCTTGAAAAAGCACCTTTAGGACAACCATGACCTCAATGACTGATAATCTCCGTAGACATTTAGCTAAACAGCTATTAGACTTATTCCATTATATGTTACATATTATGCAGTTATATGGAAAAGTAAATACAACCCACTGATATTTTTACTTTTTCAACACACTTCAACATAGATATTTGTTCTTTATTTCAACAATACTGATAGATTAAAAGCTTATAATACAAAAAAAGTAATGTACCATTTACATTTTAGTCCATTGTGTAATTTAAATAAATATAAATGCACCATATTGTATATGGAAAAAGTAAGAACACCCCTACATTCATCAGGTTCCAATGTTTGAATATTGTTAGATAGAATCTGGGAGGAACATGTCTTATTTAACCCTCAGACGTTTAATTAGATTTGCTCTTTCCTGTTGAATTGTGTGATATCACCATAGCCTAGATTAAAAGAGCTCTCTGAGGCCCTCAGAAAGGAGGTTACAGACACTGGGAAGAAATTTTTAAAAGATTGCTGCCCAAATGGACATTGATCATCTCATTATCCAAAAAATCCAAAAGAAGATTTTTAAACAACTGTCAACTTGCCTAAGCCATGCCATCCCAAAAAGTTCAACCTGAGAACAGAATATAAGATGATGAAAGAAGTCTCTACGGATCCCACTATTTCATCAAGTGACTATAAGGTAGCTCTCATCATTATTGATGTGAAAGTGCATGAATCTACAATTAGGACGAAACTGTACAAATTAGTTCTACACAGGAGGTATGTGCTAGAAAGCACATTAGGACAAAAATGAAGTTTCAGTGAATATTTGTAGCTGAGGGTTGAAATGAGGGGTTCGTGAAGCTCTCTGAGCTTGCTTGTTTTCTGGCAGATGTTTCATTACTCAAACTAGGTAACATCATCAGTGCTGAAATTTTGTTTATGGACACCTAGACAAAGACCAGGATTTCTGGAACAATATGTGCTGCACAGATGAAGTAGTTATTTGGCATTGTAGCAAAAGACAAGTTTGGCAAAAACTAAAGACAGTATTTCATCAGATTGATACCAATTGTAAATAAGAGTGGAGGACATGTTGTGATTTAGGGTACTTTGCTGCCTCAGACCTGGGCAGCTCACCATCATAGAATCCAAATTCCTCATTGTATCAGAGCGTGATTGAAGATAACATGAGACCATCTGTCAGAAGACAGAAGCTCAATCAAAAATGGACCTTGCAATATACCAATGATTTTAAACATTCCAGTAAATTCATTATGGAATGACTGGTGGGAGGACATGAAAGATCCTGGAATGGCCAACTCAAAGCCCAGATCTTAATCCTACTGAGATGCCGTGGGATAATTTAAAATGGCTCCCAAGAAGAAAATGGTATATCTGTTAATTTTTAAAAAATAAATAATTGCAAGTCATTTTTCTTTTCAAAACTTACTTGTATTTACTTTTTCATATGGCTATATTTCAGAAACACAATAAACACATGAAAAATGTTTTTAGTAAAACATCACCTGGTAAACATTTATGCTGAAATTGCAACAGATATTAATATAGTTCTTTCTGATACAGCAAATTCTCAATTTAACCCTTCTGTTTGTGATCAAGGGTTTAATCCACACTCCAGGAAATCAATGATTAAAATGAAACCTTGAATAATTGTGATCTCGGCTAGTAGCCCATTTCAAATTTTGCATCATGAGGATTACCCCAGGTATTCCAAAAAGTGAAGCTTTTTCTGTAAGCTAATAAAGATTTTGAAATCGAGGACTTTGCTAATCTTTAATTGTCTACTTGCGTTGAACCAGTTTTGTTGAATTAGGACAGCATCTCTGAATTACCCCTACTCTTTGTATTTTTAATGCTTCCTAATGGAAAATAACAATGCTAAAAATCTCAGAAAATATTTGTTTGTTTTCCTCTGAAAAAAAGAATTCCCATTTGATTCTCAATAGCATGATAGCAATGAAGTTCAACATTTCAAAATCTAATTTCCACATTTCACTTGTTATGGTTTATTATGTAGACATGGAAACATCTGATGTTAGGATTTCTTTTTTAAAGGAAATATAGAGAAATACTATCATCCACTTCACATTGGAGTCATCAAGTAATTGATGAAATGGGGATTAAAAAAAGAACTTGGCCGATTTATTTTCTATTTGTAATGCCATATAAAACTCATCACTGAGTAAGCTTCCATATCAGGTTGCAATGCACTACAGCCTTGAAATAGTTCCCTTTATTTCATTCTATAATGTGACTCATCATATTTCATGAGAGAGAAAAGTTTTTGTTGATGCAAAAATTATGAATAAAAGCAGAGCTAACATGCAGTTCAAAATAATGACTAATTCACAATTTAGAAATAAATCTAAAATTTGAATTTACAAGCTATTGTTTAATCATTTGCTATTTTAACATCTATTAGTCATAATATTAAAAACACACAAGCAGCTTGAACATTTCTATCTTGTTCAAGCTTTATAATTTTGTAATGATCTTTTTTCATTTCCCAAACAGATGGTACATGGAACAATTAGATAGGGTGCCATGTAAAGCATCTCCAATTGATAACTATATTCTAGAGATCGATAAATTAAAAAATCCAAAGTGTACTTTATAAGCTAAAGGTTTTATAGCTTCTATTGTTGAATAAGAAGAAAATGTACATATACAGGACTCACTTAAATATACTAAATAACACAAGATTTAGAATGCTGCTTCTGCATACCTACTAAAATGAAGAAATGCAACTAATATTAATAAATATATGCTTAAATAAATTATTTTCACAACTCAGGATTTGAAATTGTAATTTTATACAAACCATAATTAAATTAACAGTAATTTATATAGTGGAGGCAACATGACATTATGTACTTAATCTAAACTAGAAGTTTCAAGAACTCTCCAAGTTTAGCTATAACTCATCTTTGTTATTATGCTATACTCTGGTTTAGCATGAAATGCATATGAAGCCACTGTTATGTAGCAATAAAACAATTTTAAAAATTGAAGTCATTATTTATTAAAGAACATTTTTTTTCAATTTTTAAAGATGAACTCAATTTCAAATATTTGGGAATCGCAGTCGAATATAAATAGTTTAATATCTAAGATGTATTCAGAACTTCCTCATATTCAAAACTGCTTTTCCAAGCTTGGCTTCTAAAATCCTTGTAATGTTGAAAATTATAGAATTACCAATGTATTTATATGGTTTTTATTAAATGTATAAATACATTGTGAATTCTATAATTTTCTCTTTCAACTACAGATTCTATTCTTCTGCTATACAGTAGTACACCTTTTGTGGTAGCTTAACCCTCTCTTTCTTCACTGCCTATTTGGTTTAATTATGATGACAGGAGTTTTTTTTTTCATTCTTCATGCTATTATAAAGAACATGAAATGAACAACAAAAAGTTAAAGTTGGTCATTTCTGCCATACATTTGCAAAACCTGCTATTCAGACATAAAAGAAGCCAGTTCTGATACTAAAATTCTACTCAGCAAATTTTTTCAGATCTACTTATGTAGTGGGGAAATGAAACAAGCTTTATTTGAAAACAAAGAAACAAACCTCTGGGTAATAGAATGTCTAATATACCTGGATAATAGTAAAAGTGCACATTATTTCTTCTTTGTATTGTTGGCAAATCATTTGATGTAAATATCACTGAACTCTGTTGTGTTGCAATTGTACAATTGGATGGCATCTCCTTAAGCAAACCTACTTCTGCAGCTGAGAACAAATACAATTAAAAACAAAATGGACAGAACTCTAGCTATAAACATACATAACGATCTGAATGACTTACTGTAGCAGGGGATGCTCGTGTTGTGTGAGTAACAGAATGGCCAGAGTTTTCCATTGAATTGCCAATCAGGTAGGTACCTCCAGTGCTGCTGATGAGCTGTCCTCCTGTGACACCCATCTGAAGGCCTCCAGTGCCCACCATACTATGAGAAGAGACTACTGTGGTCACCTGCGCAGAACTTCCTTGGGTATCAAAGTAATTCCCCCCAGTGTTTTGGCTGTACATCTGAGTTTCTGTGTAAGGATACGTTGTTGTTCGTCTTAAGTAAAAGAAATGAAAGAAAAGATTACTTATCTGTTCTCTATATTGGAGGGCATCAATATTTTCATTTAAGCTGTAACCAAATCGCATTATCTTACAGCATTCAGTTGAACTTTGAAATCTTGTCTCATTTATTGTTCGTTCAGATTCATAACCTGCTTTTTTCTTAGGACTTAAGGTAGCTTACAGAGTTCTTCCTTTCATCCATTACAAGAACTAAACCAAAAGGTAGAACTCACAAAGAACTAACTTGATGTCATCCATTGAAATTTCATTAGAGTAGAACCAAAGGTGCTTTATCAAGAGGCAACTGGACTTTCTTGTTATTCTTTGAAGACAGAGCTGAAGAAGCTTCTTAGATAAGAAGCAAAGTGTCTTCAAAGAATAACACGAAAGTCCAGTTGCCCCTTGAAAAGGCACCTTTGGGACAATCATGTCCTGGATGACTGAGAATCTCCATAGACACTGAGAATAGAATTGAATGTCAGTCTCCCCATTTCTAGTCCGGCACTTCAAACATAGAAATGTGATGAAATATTACCAGGCAGTTGAAAAAGCTAGCTTTTATTCCCAAAAGGCTGAAATTACAAATTGTTTGTTAATAATGAACACAATATAATCATCCAATGTATAAGCAACATGACTTCAATGCTAGTAGCAGTCTTATGAAGTCCTTCCTGACGCACAACATCTGAGCAGGTGGCAACTAAATTCATGGAGCTTGGCTTGTTTACAATCAATGGTTCTTCCTGAGGTTTAAATGAATAGTCAAAGGCTATTTAGCTGTCTAAGGCTATGGTTAATATTTTGTTTGTGCAAGATTAGAAACCTTTTGGAACAACCAGGTAGTGAAATTATCCCAGCTAAGCAATATGGCACTGCAAGGGTAAATCTGCTATATTTTTTGAAGTTTCAAGGGTGGTATGCACATGGCACACACCCACACACTGACTTATTCCCAGCTGACTCTCTTAAGTTCTATGTAAATGTCACGACAATGATCTGTCGTCTTTTATAAATTAGTATTCCTGCCATCTCATCTTGTCTCAGCAAGTACCTGAGTTGAATGCGACCCTGAATTTTCTTTCATCTGATCATTCAGAAGGACTCATTTATCTGCAGCATACTGATCTTTGTCTGTAAGTTGCTATTTAGCTTAAAAACTATTTTACAGATAAATTTCATTCAAGCAAGAAAAGCCTCTTTCTTTTTTTACAAATATTCTCCACCTAAATGCTCATTAATTCCACACAGGTTAATTGCTAATAGATTTGAACTGAAAGAACCTTGATTTAAATACCCGTTCATTCTATATTTATTTTAAATTTCGCTCTGCCAAACTAACATATCATTTAAAATATGATTTCAGTTACATATAAATGCTCTTCTAAATATGCTGCTTGCGAATAATACAGTCTTATAATATTAATACATTTTGATAAATTTAAAACCGCTAATGATTTATTGAGGCAAATTTTCTTTTTGAATCAAGAATTTTTGTAAAATTAAACTCTGCTTCTTTTTCCGGAGCGAGGGATAGGAAGCTCCAGTAGTGGTATTATCAGGCCCTATTGGCCACGAGACTGGGATGAAGCTGAAGCCACGCCTCTGTGCTCCACCCTTGACTTTCCAGTTTCATCCCAGTCCGGCCAAAAACGAGAGACATAAACATTTTCTCCTGATAATTCTTCTACTGGACCCTCCTTGCCTCTACAGCCTCCTGGAAAAACAGCTCCCATCATGCCAGTAAGTGATTTGCGGTGGTTCCCTTCATGGGCCACCAGGGAGATTCATCTCTTTGCTGGAGGCTGGGGCGGCCCTGGTAGTGGCCATTTGGGACCACACGGACCACGTGGGTGGCTTTGCCTGACTCCTGGGCAATCGGGAGGCTTGTGATTTCCAGCCCTAGAGCCTCCCGTCGAGAAAATTCGCTGGCTGAGGACTTCGGCGGCTGGAATCGAGCTGCGGAGGCACCAGCAGTGCTTGCAAGAGCGCAAAGAGTCTTTTAAAGCTGCAGAAAGGCACGTAGGCGCTGGGAGCCGAGGCAGGTCTCAGCAGCAGCCTCCAAACCATACTGTGCTCAGTGTTTGAGTGGAGGCTGCCTGGAAGCTTAGGAAACAGAGGTTTTTTCCTCTTTTTTCTCCTTTTCTCTGCTGCAGCCAGAGAGAGAAGCATGGAGGAGGCTTCGCAAGGAGGGCTGTGAGTATTATATGTGGCAAGGATGGCAGAGGAGGTGAGAAGATCCCTTTCACCCCCATGTTTCCCTGGGGAAGGCCCATCTTCCAGCAGCACCCCACTGCCTCTGCCAGGGCTAAAAAGGCTATGGCTACCTCTCGTTCCTCATGTGCCACCCAGAGGGATGAGCTTAGGAAGCACAAAGCAATCTCCAAGACCTTCTCTAGAGCAGAGAAGTTGAGGGCCCAGCATGGTAGGGTAAGCGTGTGCTACTGCACAGGTTGAAGAGGGGGAGAGAGGTAAGGAAGGAGTGAAGAATGGGGCTGATGGCACTACAGAGGGGACTGCTGTGAAGAAACCTTGGGTCCCGGTTTTCTCTGAGCCCAAGGCAGTTAAGGAAGAGATCCTGGCTCCTCACCTCTTCCTGGAGGTGTGAAGAAGCAATGTGAGAAGCCTGCTGCCTTCCCTAACCCTGGCAGTAATGATAGACTTTTTACAATATTGAGCCAGATTTTTGCCACACCTTACAGCTGCCCACTGTGGACCCCTGCTTCTCTGGTGGCCAGGGATGTGACTAACAACCTTAAATCGGATGACAGGAAGGTGGAGATGACCCTGAGGAAGACGTTCCAGTCTGCGGCCTGGACCATCAAGGCAGCAGCATTGGCTTCGTTCTTCAATCACACAGCTATCTTGTGGATGGAGAAGATCCAGAAACACATTCCCCCAGAGGAGGTGCAGCTGCACCAGGACCTAAACAAGTTAGTGGTGGTAGCGCAGTTCTCGGTTGATGCCACGTTGAATGCCATGAAGTTCGCTTCCAGGGCCATGACGTTGTACGTTACCTATCGTCGTCTTCTTTGGCTCTGGGGGTGGCAAGCGGACAACAAGTCAAAGTGGCAGCTGGAGTTAGCCGACTACACGGGGGGGGGGGGCTCCCTCTTCGGGGCCACCCTTGACCCGGTCCTCGTGGAGGACAAGAATAAGAAAAAAGTCCTGTCCATCTCGGCAAAGAAGGCGGAGCAAAAGTCTACTCCGTTCTACTGCAAGCCATCATACCGACCTCAGGAACAGAAAGCTCAGCAGAGCAGGTACTCTTCCCCCAGGTCAAAGAGGCAGCCTGAGCGCAGTTACAACAGGGGCAGGTCTCGTTTCCCACAACAGAGTAAGTGTCCTTTTAGAAGGGGAGGTGGTTACCTCTACCGCTGGGGCAAATAGGTCAGGCCCGATCCCACCCATTGGCAGTCTCCTGGCTCTCTTCTCCGAGGCCTGAGCGGAAATTTCCTCAGATGCCTGGGTGCTCAGCATGGTCACTCATGGGCTTCGCCTAGAGTTCCTTTCCATTCCCCCTAATTTCTTCCATATGTTTCCCCTGGCCCAAAACGTAGAGAAAGGCAGGTTGATGCATCAGACTATTAAATATCTGCTTGACATCACTGCAGTGGAACTGGTCCCGGAGGGGTTCTATTTGAACCTGTTCCTGGTGCCCAAGTCTTCAGGGGGCTGGAGAGCTATTCTCGACTTGAGGCTGTTGAACCAACATTTGGTTTACTGCAAATTCAAGACCATTTTTGCAGGTGTCCGGGAGGGGGATTACATGGTGTCTATAGATCTCACGGAGGCTTACCTCCATATTTCCATATTCCTGGATCATAGGGCCTTCCTCCAGTTCTCCTACCTGGGGCATCATTACCAATATAAAGGCCTGCCATTTGGGTTGTCCCTTGCACCCAGGTCTTTCACCAAGGTGCTGGCTGTAGTGGCGGCGCATCTAAGGGCATTTCCCATTAGATTACATTTCTACCTAGATGACATCCTCATCAAGGGGACGCCATTTGCATGAGGTGGCCAGATGGGCTGCTGTATGCTTTTCTTCCCCTCCCCTTCATTCCCGGGGTAGTTCAGAAGCTAGTCAGGGAGCAGGCAGAGCTGATCCTGGTGGCACCTCACTGGCCAAGGAGGCCCTGTTTTGCGGATCTCATGACTGTCGGTCTGGCCTCCATGGTGGATTCTGGAGAGGGAGATAAAATTGCACCAGGGGAAGCTAGTACACCCGGAGCCACACTGGTTGCAACTAGCCATGTGGAGATTGAGCGGGACAACATTTGATGTTGGACAACATTTGCAGAGCAGCAATGTGGGCTTCACCATTGCCATTCATTTGGCATTACAGGTTGGATGCGTTCGCATCGGCTGATATGGCATTCGGGCATAGGGTACTACAGCAGGTTGTTGCAGATCGTTAGTTTCCCCCCCCCCCCCCCCATGGGACTTAGCTTTGGTAGGTCCTACTACTGGAGCCTCCTGTTCCTCACTCTGGAAAATGGAAATTGGTCTTACTTGAACTGCTATTTTCGGAGATGGGACAGGAGGTTCCAGTTCCCGCCCTAGGTTAATTAGTCTAGCAGGGGTGGAGGGAGTTCTCCTTTGTGCCTTGTTTTCAGTCTCGGGGGAGCTCGCTTAGATGAAACTGGAAAGTCAAGGGTGGAGCATAGAGGCATGGCTTCAGCTTCATCCTAGTCTCGTGATCAATTAGACGTGATAATACCACTACTGGAGCCTCCCGTCCCAGCTCCGAAAATAGCAGTTCAGGTAAGACCAACTGCCATTCTCTTTCTCATTCACACAAACATTAAAGAAAAAGTGTAAGTATTAGAACTATTAACTGGTAAATAGATATTATGGGTTTTTCCAACTGACTGTTCTGGAAATGAAATCTTCGAATTACATTTCTTTTTTGGAAGGGAGCTTATTATAAAAAGGGCAAAATTTTCAGAAATAGCTGCACAAAGTCATTTATGTTGAAGCATATATAAAAGGGCCTGAGCTTGTTGTTTTTTTAAAAAAAATTCAATGGCCAAGATGCCATAAGGATCACCCTAGAAAGGGGTCTCTCTTCATCCTCATTACAGAATTGAGTATTTGAGTATTTATTAATACTTATAGGCCGCCCTTTTCCCTGAGGGGACTCAGGCGGCTTACATAAAATGAGGGGAGGGGGTAAACAAAAAAAAAAAACAACCAAAACAAAAAAGTAAAAAAAAAAGCAACATTCATTCATCATTCG